TATCCCTGAAAATGGGGATAATAATATCCCGCATCTCAAGAATAGATACTTGTAAAGCTCCTCCGAGCTAGCACACTGAGGAGATGTAAAAACCGTTAGCTGTCACTTTCCTTCCTGAAACCACCTTACTGCTACTTTCAGTCAATGGATAGATTTAGTACTGATCTTCTCCATAATAATAACCACCTATTGAGCACTACTGTGCATCAATTATTGTGTTAAGCCCTTTAAATATTTTGTTTAATCTTCGCGATAATCCTACAAGGGTATCTACCATAATTTTCTCCACTTTATGAAGAATTTTATGAAACCTCGTGGGATTATAACCTGCCAAGGTCACAGTAAATTGATGGGCTAGGACTCAAACAAAAGTCTGATTTCGAAGCCTTCAGGTGCCTAACCACTACTTCCTAAGAAGTAGCTCATATGCTTACACTCCACACAGTCTGAATACTGCAGAAACAAACCCAAAAGTTGAAATGGTGTTAAAAAGCTATTAAAAACATACACAGAATTATGTGCATAGGAACACAGAACAGGAACTCCCAACCTAGACTTGGGTGGAAATGGGATCAGAGAAGTTATCAGAAAGTCCTAAGGAACAAATAGATACTACATAAACAGCAAAATATGCTGAGATCTATCTATCTATCTATCTATCATCTATCTATCTATCTATCTATCTATCCATCCATCCAACTGGCTGGTAAGAAGATCCATTTTTGTGTGTGCATGTGCTATCTATCTATCTATCTATCTATCTATCTATCTATCTAAACAACTGGCTGGTAAGAAGATCCATTTTTGTGTGTGCATGTGCTATCTATCTATCTATCTATCTATCTATCTATCTATCTATCTATCTATCTATCTATCTANCCCGTGGCCTTGGTGTTATCAGCACCGCACTCTACCGAGTGAGCCATGGGCCGGCCTAAGCTTTTGGCTTTTAACAGATGAATGGTATTTTACAGAAAAGCAAGAATCCTCAGATTATTGGTTAAGACCGATATTCAATACAATACTTGTACTGAATAGACAATATTTAGATTTTTACTCTTATTTCCTAGCAGACTATTCCAAAGACCAAAAGTATGACATTAATAACACAACCCAAATATGCAGTGTAACAGATGGGCTGAAGAACAGAGGCAAATCACCAGCCCTCTAAGTCATCATTTACTCACTATGAGACAGCTTGGAGTGCAAAATACAAAGGCTTCGAACCAGAAAATATATTTATACCCTAGGCTTGTAATTATATCCCTGAAAATGGGGATAATAATATCCCGCATCTCAAGAATAGATACTTGTAAAGCTCCTACACCACAGCTAGCACACTGAGGAGATGTAAAAACCGTTAGCTGTCACTTTCCTTCCTGAAACCACCTTACTGCTACTTTCAGTCAATGGATAGATTTAGTACTGATCTTCTCCATAATAATAACCACCTATTGAGCACTACTGTGCATCAATTATTGTGTTAAGCCCTTTAAATATTTTGTTTAATCTTCGCGATAATCCTACAAGGGTATCTACCATAATTTTCTCCACTTTATGAAGAATTTTATGAAACCTCGTGGGATTATAACCTGCCAAGGTCACAGTAAATTGATGGGCTAGGACTCAAACAAAAGTCTGATTTCGAAGCCTTCAGGTGCCTAACCACTACTTCCTAAGAAGTAGCTCATATGCTTACACTCCACACAGTCTGAATACTGCAGAAACAAACCCAAAAGTTGAAATGGTGTTAAAAAGCTATTAAAAACATACACAGAATTATGTGCATAGGAACACAGAACAGGAACTCCCAACCTAGACTTGGGTGGAAATGGGATCAGAGAAGTTATCAGAAAGTCCTAAGGAACAAATAGATACTACATAAACAGCAAAATATGCTGAGATCTATCTATCTATCTATCTATCTATCTATCTATCTATCTATCTATCTATCTATCTATCTATCTATCTATCTATCTATCTAAACAACTGGCTGGTAAGAAGATCCATTTTTGTGTGTGCATGTGGCCAGCTGGTACAGGCATCCAAACCCCTGACCTTGGTGTTATAATACCACACTCTAACCAACTAAGCTAACCAGCCAGCCTGAGATCAATTTAGAACAATGGCTTTCACATTTTTCTAAGTCCAATAGTATAAAAAATATTTTACCCTGTAACCAAGTCAATACATACTTCTATATATGTGTGTATATTAAAACATATATAAGGTTTCTAAAACAATTCTTAAATTTATATGTAGGTATGCGTTGTGAAACTAAGTTACCTTACTATGTTCAGTGTGTCTGACGTTTTCTACTGTATTTTTTTAAGCTAGCCAGAACCACTAAATTGGTTTCACAACCCAGGTGTGTATATTAAAACATATATAAGGTTTCTAAAACAATTCTTAAATTTATATGTAGGTATGAGTTGTGAAACTAAGTTACCTTACTATGTTCAGTGTGTCTGACGTTTTCTACTGTATTTTTTTAAGCTAGCCATAACCACTAAATTGGTTTCACAACCCACAAATGGGTAGTAAACAACTTGAATGAGAACATAGAGACTAGGAATGGCAAATTTTGCCTTTTGTACCAACTTTGGTAAATTGGCAGTAGCTATTAAAGCCATGGTAAGAAAGAAAGAATGCAAATCTGAAAAGTGTGGTAAGAAAGAACATAAAACAGTGCTGGAATTGATTAGAGATATCAGTAATGGACAGAGGAGGAAAAAATAGATGTACACATGCCACATTATCTGCTGTTCTTGATCTAGATAAAGATTCTAGATGAAAATTAAATGGGTTTTGTTTTTACATAAGTCAATGCAAATATACATTTTTTTAATCAGAAAAATTTGCAGCACTTTGTATTCCTCTCAAAGATAACAATATCTGATTTAGCAATATATTATTATTTGAGATTTACAAAAGGAATCCATCTTCGGAACTTGAAGAAGGGTAAATTTCGGTAATATTGGTGAAAGGAAAATTACTTTTTTTCCTTCTTTCCATCTCTTGTTCCTTTCTCCCTTCCCCCATGAATAAACAGCCTATGTGAGTCCACTTCATGTTCCTTCTCACTATCTTGGTCTGGTCTCACTCAGCCCTAGAGGAACACTAAAGACTTCCCTCAATGCTTCTGAAGGACACAAGGTCCAAGCTGGGACAAAAAGAACAGGAATTGGCAAAGCAGAGGGAAGAAGAGAAGTAGAAGCAAAGGTAATAATATGTACAGACGTCCAGAGGCTAGAGAGCTTGGTTCATTCAGAGAACACATAGTTCAGTATCACTGTTGCCTAGAGTACTAGAGGACTAGTGGAAAAAAATGAGACTGGAAAGGTGAGTCATGGGATGTCATGAGAGGCCTTTCTTTTTCTTGTCTCAAGGAATCTTAACAACTGGTTTGGCTCTAAGTATGTATCAGTTTGGGTACATATACGCACATGCAAGAGAAGTCTGTAATCAAGGGGGCATGGCAGAGAAAAATCTTGTAATTTCATTTAGCCCTTGTGCCAGTCTCTAAAATAGTTCCTAATGATCCTGTCTCCTGGTATCCCAACTTTGTGTAGTTTCCTCCTATACTGTACCAGGGGTGGCCTGTATGAACAATACAATAGGGCAGAAGTGATAGTATGTCACTTCCAAATACATATAGGTTATAAAAGACACTGAGGCTTCCTTCCATCTTGGAAGCTCTCCTTTCTTACATCATTTGCTTTAGGTGAAGCCATGTTGTAAAATGCCCTGTGGGGAAGCTGATGTGGTGAGGAACTAAAGCCTCCTGCCAACAGCCATGGGAATGAGCTTGAAGAAGATTCTCCAGCCCAAGAATCAAGTCTTCACAGACTGCAGCCCTGTCCAACTCCTTGACTGCAACTTCATGGGAGACCCTCAGCCAGATCCACCTGGCTAAAAGGTTCCTGGAATCTTGACCCACAGAAGCTGTGCACTAATAAATGTTTGTTGTTTTTACCTCCTGAGTTTTGGGGTAACTTTCTATGCAGCAATAGAAAACTAATATAGCCCTCCCTCTAGTTATGTTGTGCTACTTTCACAGTTCAAAATCGGACTACTTCAGCACTAGTTTTTTAAATTATTTTTTTAAAAACACTCTTCAAGTATAAAAATATTAAAAAATATTTGACCTGTAATTTGCTTCTGCATCTTCCCAAGCAAGTTGTCTAAATTCTTCATACATTTTTTTATTGAAGTGATCTCTGAGGAAAAAGGACCAGAAACGAAAGAGGGTATTCATTTCTTGGGATTGACCAATTCCCAAGTGTTTTCTCTCTGGAAAAAGTTAAAATAATAAATCATATTTTTATTAAACATACTTTTTAAAGTCAAAACAGCAGACATTTCACATGACTTAAAATGAGGAAAATTGAAACATATTAATCCTCAAAATATACTTGGGTTTCTTCTAAAAAGAGGACAATATTAATTCATTTTCTGATTTACTGCTCAAATTATAAACATCTGTCAATAATAACAGAAGAATATACTAAATTTTATTTCCTAATGTGTCTAAGCTATATATAAACGTTTACTTAAGGTAATTATTTATGATTATAATAAAATAAAACAATATTTTAGCCTTATATTAAATGATATAATTTTAATTTTTTAGAATTGTACTTTAATTTTAAACATAGCTAGGTAAAAAACAAGCCTCTTACCACTTAGGCATCTTCGACGATACTTGTAGTAAACTTGTTGGGTAAACCCATTTTCCTTCAAAAGTTCATGAGAAGGATGCTGGAACTTTGGGAATGAATGAGGAGTACATCCATGATTTCCTACTAGTGATGCACCTTCTGAAGGTGAAGCATTTGAACCGCTGTTTGAGGAGGGGGAAAAAAGTCTTCAAACTGAAATATTAAGAACCAAGTGTTTAAACCAATTTGTATTAATTTTTTTCATTATTGAGAGTCTGAGCAGTGGAAAAGACAGTAGTCCCTAAAACCCTCCTAAACTAATGACATACAGATCTACATATGAAGTGCTATTTACGTTCATCACACAAACAAATTCAGAGGTTGATAAAGAACATGGTTATAAATTCTCAAACTAAGAGCAGATAACTGAATAGCTCATTCCTGTTACAGATCCATTATTAACTCAGTTTACATTAGGTTTTTTAAAAAAATTATTATTATGGTAGTTGAGAACTTTTCAACTTCTCTGAGAAAGTAGGCTAATGATGTAAACTGGATACACTGAAATGAGGGGAAAACTCTGGCACAAAGACAAAGGCAATAATCTCATTATCTCAAAGACAAACTTGCAATTCTCTAAACTAGGCTAATGATGTAAACTGGATACACTGAAATGAGGGGAAAACTCTGGCACAAAGACAAAGTCAATAATCTCATTATCTCAAAGACAAACTTGCAATTCTCTAAATCAATTCAACTTCTGAAATATCTCCTAAATCTGTCTTTTTCTTTTCATCTGCACTACATCATTCACATTTAGGCCCTCATCTTTTTCACTTGAATTAACTGGTCTTCTTGTTTTTCCAGTCTCCCTCCTCTGTCCTGCCACCAAAGTGATCTTCTTGACATTCATCTAAATTAGTAGGTCTCAGAGTGTGGTCTGTGGACTACTGGAGGGTTCCCAAGAACCTTTCAGAAAATCTGCAAAGTCAAAACTACTTTCATAATAACACTAAGACACTGTTTGCCCTGTCCACTGTGGTGACATCTGTACTGATGGTGCAGAAGCAGTGATGTGTAAAACTGCTGATGTGAAGCGAGGCAGTGGCACCAAACTTTGCTTACTGGTGATTGTATTCTTCATGCACTTGGAATTTTTTTTTAAAAATGTCAGTTTCAACTTAAAATGTCCTTGTTGAAGCAGAAAAATTAACTTTATAAAATCTCAACACTTGAATATACGTCTTATGTGTGACAAATATGGGAAGAAAGGAAGCTTCAGTTTTGCAAGATGAAAACATTCTGGAGATCTGTTTCACAACAATGTGAATATACTGAACACTTCTGAACTGTATGCTTAAAATTGGTTAAGATGGTAAATTTTATGTTACATGTATTTTCACAATTAAAAAAATGGGACAAAAGCACAAAGCACTTTTGCAGTATATTAAAGGATAATGGTTATCTTAAGGCAAAGCACATGTGTCAATAAGTTGTGAGGTGAACTAGCTGCTCTTTTCATGGAGTATCATTTTAAATTAGAAGAACAGCCAACAAACTATAGTTATTCAGACTTTCCTATTTGTCAGATTTTTCCTCGAAAATGAACAAAACTATCCTTTATTTTTTTTATTATTTTTTGGCAGCTGGCCAGTACAAGGATCCAAATCCTTGACTTTGGTGTTATAACACCTTGCTCTAATCAAGCTAACTGGTCAGCTCACCAAATGAGTCTTTAATGTCAAAGAAAACAACTATTTGTTTCCAATGACAAAATTTGAGCTTTCAAGCAAAAATAAGAACTTTGGAAATCTTGTATTTGTCATTACGAGCCTGATACTTCTCACCAATACCTAGAGATTTTGCTAATGAAATCACTGGTGAATTTTTTTTTAGGAGTTTGTGCACATACAATACTATTTATCATTTTAAACATTATTTGTAAGAGTATATATAATTCATTAGCATTAAAAAGATTCACAATATTATATAACTATCACCACTATCTATACCCAAAACTTCATCATCCCCAACAAAAACTGTACCTATTAAACAATAACTACCCTCTTGTCCATCCCCTCAGCTCCTGCTAACCTCTAATCATTCTGTCTCTATTCTTCTGTCTTTTTGCCTATGCTAGGTACATCATACAAGTGAGATCATACAATATTTGCCCTTCTGTGTTTACTTTACTTCACTATGTATGTTTTCAAGGTCCAACCATGTTGTAGCACATATCAAAATTTCATTCCTTTGTAGGAAATGAAATTCCTCAATTAGAAGGAAGAAATAAGCTAGAATTCATACCAGATACTTAGGTTAGTAAAAGAATCTAAAATAACACTGGAGCTCCAGCTGTGATTAGAGTACATGAATCTATACTAATACCAATGAGCCCAGGACTTTAGCAACATTCAGCAGACTAAGAGCAAATATAATGGAAAAAGAGCTGGGTTTACTCAGCTTGGGACTTGGCAAGAACAACAACAAAAAATCTAGGAGTAAGAATCTAGAATTCAACCAAAATTTATAAGCACACAAAAAGAAAATAAAAATCGAGAGATAATGCAATAAACAGAACCATATTAAAGATGACCCTGCTACTGGCATGATCACAGAATGGACTTTAAAATAACTATGATGGCTGGCCGGTTAGCTCACTTGGTAGAGTGCGGTGCTGACAACACCAAGGTCAAAGGTTTGAATCCCATTACTGGCCAGCTGCCAAAAAGTAAATAAGTAAATAAATAAAATAACTATAATTAATACTCATACTTTTCTGGTAGGGACTATATCTGTCTTGTTTCCTGCTATAAACTCAGTGTCTTGAAAAGTGCCCTACATATTGTCAGTCCCTGCTTTCCTCATATTTTACTTGTGGGGGATGGTGGAGTGGTGGCTGAGAATGAATAAATCACCATATATTTTACACCATATATTTAACAACAAAAGAAATAATGTGATAAAACATGAATCTTAAGAAACAAATTCTTACCAAAATGTTAGAACTAAAAATTCTAGTTAAACTAAACTAAATGCTATTAACTTAACATTTTTCACAATTATCTGTTGATCTCTAAATATACTGCACCAATAAAAAAAATATTTGGGAAACAAACTCAAAATCACTTAGAACTCAAAAATAACTATTATTATACCACAGGTGTCTAGAAGAATATATATTTATTTTCTAGAGACAATATATCTAATAAGAATAATTTAAAAGTACCAAATATGTATCGCTGAAGACAGATTTCAAGATTTTGAGATCATGATAAACTCCCCAGCATTTCTTTTCATGAAATGAACTAATCTTTCCCCTTCTAATAACCAGTCAGAAAACATTTTTTCCCAAAGTTAACTTTTCAAATGGAAAAGCTATCAAATAATTTCCTGAAAATATTTAATACAAACAGGATATAGGTTTTCAAGAAACACAAAACAATGAGCAATAATTCACTTCTGTATTGCCTCTACAGGACAAAATATAGCATACTGCTTTGCACGTAACTGCACTCTAAAAGGTATGCTTTATCGTCTCTTTTGAGGTAAATAAATCTTTCTTTAAAAATTAAAGCTATAATAAAAAATACTTCTTGCTAATAATCAGCTAATCTAAATTATTTCCCCAAAAAGAAAAAACATCTAAAATAATAATGTGTTTTGTTTTCATATTCTTTACATAGTTTTGAGCAGATTGTTTAGAACATTAATTCCCTACATAATATCTATTAGGAATGTGGGATCTTTCCAAAGATAATAATGTTCATAGACCTAAAAAGTTTATAATCTAGGAGTCCACATTGTTTAGAACATTAATTCCCTACATAATATCTATTAGGAATGTGGGATCTTTCCAAAGATGATAATGTTCATAGACCTAAAAAGTTTATAATCTAGGAGTCCACATTTGTGAAAAATAATTTAAATGGAAAAAAATTGTCCTACTGAATTATTCCCTTAATGTACTTACTGTGAAACTGTCCTGCTTATTTCCCCTTCTTTGGTTTCTTCCTACTATTTTCATTGTTCTATAATTTGCTAACACATTAATTTAAAAGTATTCCCAAATATCTAATTAGTAAATGTTTTCAACAAACTTTAAATAAAGAATGAAAGGAAATGTTTGATAAGTATGGCACCTGACAGAGGATGTTCTTGGCTCATGATCTCTCGAATCCATTACCCAACCAACATGACACTCTAGAGGGGGATTTGAACTATGCCTTGTTTTTCTCTTTCGTGGACTCTGAAGAAAAAGAAGTCAAACATTGCAATTACTTTCAATAGTGTGAACCTCACAAGTAAATTAAAACCCTCTGATTGTAAATGAACTCAAACATTTTCATACTGTGGATGACACATTGTGAAATCATATGAAGTCACAAAACTCAAACTCAAACACCCTGCATACAAATTACATAACTTAACAAACAAGGTCCTTTGCTAGGTTTATAACATAAGGATCAAAGGAAATGCAAGTCAGTGTGACTCCTCATTACACCTTCTAGAGATCGTCATTAATTATACTACCCAATTGTAACGGAGTTATTTCTTAACCTGAGAAAACATCACTATGGTAAAATACCATTTTTTAAATGAATTCTTGTAATTTAAAATACACATTTTTTTTAATGTGATAAAAACTAAAATGTCTCATTCTGTAATGTCAAAGGATACAAAATGAAGGCTTTATATTCCTAGTTGTCTTTTGTACCTTTGCATCAATGACTTTTGGTTCTTTAATAACAGGATAAAATCGTGGTGTTTTGTTAGGATCTTGCAACCTGGGTGTCCGAGGTTTTCTGGGTGTTCTTGCAGGATGAATTTTATGAGATTCTGGAACTGCAGTAGGGAATGAACAGGCCATTGTTGCTGAAGTTATTTCTGAAAAATCAAACAGCTTTTGAGCTAATTCATCAGTCACATCTACAAAATAAAAAGCTCTAAAATTATTTAAATACAAGGAAAATTTTTTACTATGAAAATACAGATAATTCTTAAATTGTCTAACCTCAAAGGATTTTTCACTAGAAGTATTTCAAATATTTAAGAATAAAAACTAACAAGCATTTGTTTAGCCATCACTTAGCTTTACAAAATTTAAATTTTGCTATATGTTTATGACCTTTTCTTTTTTAAAGTAAGAAAGGCTGAAACTTATTGTGCAATTTTCCCTAATTCTTTTTCCCTCCTGAGATAATTAGGCTCTTAAAATTGGTATTTTGATCTATTGCCACATATATGTAATAATATTATTTTGCATAATTAACTTTATATAAATGACATCATACTGTATCATTGTTTTTTCATATTTCATTCATATAGCTCTGATTTGTTCACTTTCATTGCTGTATATAGCATGCTGTTATACAAAGGTATCAAGATTTATTCATTCTACAGTTTAATCAACAATGATTCAATCAACATTGCTGAACATGTCTCTGTACAGCTGTGAGCATTTCTCTAGGGTTTACACCTGAGTGGAAATGTTGAGCCAAAGGATATGTGTACCTTTTGCCTTACTGAACACTGTCAAACATATTTCTATAGTGGTTTTACCAATTTATACTCCCACCAACATCATGTGAGACTTCCACTTATTTTACCTCCCAGTCAAGACTGGGTTTTGTTCAGACTTTTAAATATTTTTCCATTCCATGAGGTTTAAATGGTATTTGCATTTCCTTAGTTGTTACCAGTGAAGTTGAGCATGTTTTCATATTATCTAGTTACCATCCAAAGTTCCCCTTTTGTGATCTTGCCATTTGTATTCTTTGACATTTCTCCATTGATTTCTTTTTTAACTCATTAATTTGCTCATGAAAATCTTATGGTAAAATACTAAGCGAGTCAACAGATGAATCAAGTAGTAGTGACAAAAATATAGGCTTTATTTCTGTATGGCTTTTCTTAAGACTTATCAACTTCTTTTGATTCACACAATAACCTTTTGTTCTTCCATTCAACACATATTAAGTGGCTACTATCTGCCAAGCACTATTCTAGGCACAAGTTTATAATGTCAAAAATGAACTTACCCACTTGCCGTTTCCTCTCCCAATCCATTTCCTCATCATTACCAGAATGATTATTCTGAGGAGCAAATTAGATAATTTCTTATTTCTACTTAAAATCCTTTAGTGTTTCCCCTTTGCCTCCAGAAGAAGCATAGATTCTTTATCTTTCCTGATTTTGCCACATATGTTGTCATTCTCTACTTCAATCTTGGTGACCCAAGAAGCACCAAACTACTTACTGTCCCTGTTTCTTTCATTGCTCTACATCTTTTCACACACTTTTTCCTTTGTTTGAAAGTCCCTTTCCTTCATCTTTTGTATACCCAGTTGAATTCATATCCTTCCTTTAATACTCAGCATAGATGATACCATCCTTGGGAATGTGAAGCATTCCTTGAACACGTCCTGCCAACACAGTTAGTCAATTTTTATTTGTATCTTCTCTGCATATTACCCATTTACTGTTTCAATTATTAAATTAAAATTTATTTTCTTAAATAACATCCTATTAGATACTAAGAGCAACAAGTCTCATTGCTTCCCTGAATGCAATGGCCACAATCTTATTGAATACTAGTGCATACCATAATGCATAGGAAAAAATATAACCTCACTAAAGGAATGCTAAACCTAACTGAATTGTGTTAATGCTGTTTCCTTAAACAAGAAAGATATACAATCTTAGGGATAAATATAAGAGCTTATTGAATACTAGTGCATACCATAATGCATAGGAAAAAATATAACCTCACTAAAGGAATGTTAAACCTAACTGAATTGTGTTAATGCTGTTTCCTTAAACAAGAAAGATATACAATCTTAGGGATAAATATAAGAACATATACTAAAAAATATGTTAAATACAGTACCTTTGCAAAAGAAATATTCATAAATGTAGGCGCAACAACAACCCAGAAAGAATAAGCTTCCCAGCACCCAGAATATGGTCTCTAAATTCCATTTCCCACTGATCAGGTCTGAACAAAAGAAAGTCTGGAGCAGGAAATGTATAATATAAGCCTGGAAAATCTTTTTTTAATTTTTTTTTTATTTTAACTTCTCAATATACATTGTAGTTGATTTTTATGTCCCTTTACCTGTTGCTTTCTCCCCCCCCCCCCACATTATATCTGTTCACTTGTTTTAACAAGTTCAAGGAATTGTTGAAATTGTGGTGGCTTCTTCCCGCCCCAACTCTTTGTTTGTTTGTTTGTTTATTTATTTATTTTTAGCTCCCCCAAATAAGTGACAGTGTGGTATTTCTCTTTCTGTGCCTGACTTGTTTTATTTATATAATTTTCTCTAGGTCCATCCATGGTGTTGCAAATGGTAGTATTTCATTCTTTTATATAGCAGAGTAGAATTCCACTGTGTAGAAATACCACATTTTTTGTATCCACTCATCTGACGATGGACATTTGAGCTGGTTCCAACTCTTAGCTACTGTAAATAGCGCTGCAATAAACATGGGAGTACAGGTATCTCTTCGGCATGATGATTTCCATTCTTCTGGGTATATTCCCAGCAGTGGAATAGCTGTGTGATCTATCTGTAATTGTTTGAGGAACCTCCATACCGTTTTCCATAAAGGCTGTACCATTTTGCTGTCTCACCAACAGTGTATGAGAGTTCCTTTTTCTCCACAACCTCACCAGGATTTATCATTCTCAGTCTTTTGGATATTAGCCATCCTAACTGGAGTGAGATGCTATCTCAGAGTGGTTTTGATTTGCATTTCCTGAATGCTGACTGATATTGAGCATTTTTTCATGTGTCTGTTGGCCATTCGTATATCTTCCTTTGAGAAATGCCTATTCAGCTCCTTTGCCCATTTTTTAATTGGGTTCCTTGTTTTTTTGCTGTCAAGTTATTTGAGTTCCTTGTATATTCTGGATATTAATCCTTTATTAGATGTATATTTTGCAAATATTTTCTCCCACTCTGTTGGTTGTCTTTTCACTTTGTTGTTTCTTTTTCTGTGAAGAAGCTTTTTAGTTTGATATAATCTCATCTGTTTATTTTTCCTTTGGTTGCCTGTGCTTTTGGGGTCATATTCATGAAGTCTGTACACATTCCTACTTCCTTGAGTGTTTCCCCTATGTTTTATTTAAGGAGTTTTATTGTTTCAGGATGTATATTTAATTCTTTAATTCATTTTGTGTTGATTTTGGTATATGGTGAGAGGTACAGATCTAGTTTCATTTTCCTACATATGAATATCCAGTTTCCCCAGCACCATTTGCTGAAGAGGCAGTCTCTTCCCCAGTGTGCAGACTTGGTACCTTTGCCAAAGACCAGATGGCTGTAGGTGTATGGGTTGATTTCTGGGCTCTCTATTCTATTCTATTGATCCATGTGTCTGTTTTTATGCCAATACCATTCTGTTTTGGTTATTATAGATTTGTAGTGTAGTTTAAAGTCAGGTAGTGTTATGCCTCCAGCTTTACTTTTTTTTTTTTTTTTTTTTTTTTTGCTCAGGATTGCTTTGGCTATGCATGGTCTTTTTTTTTTCCATATAAATGTCTGGAGAGTTTTTTCCATTTCAGAGAAAAATGTCATTGGAATTTTGATAGAGATTGCACTGAATCTGTAGATCACTTTGAGTAATATGGACATTTTCACAATGTTAACTCTTATGATCCAAGAGCATGGAATATCTTTCCATCTTCTTGTGTCCTCTTTAATTTCTCTCAACAGTGGTTTCTAGTTCTCTTCATAGAGATTTTTCACATCCTTGGTTAACTTTATTCCTAAGTATTTTATTTTTTTGGTGGCTGTTGTAAATGGGCTAGGTTTCTTGATTTCTTTTTCTGCATGTTCACTGTTGGAGTACAGAAATGCCACTGATTTTTGTGTGTTGATTTTGTATCCTGCAACTTTGCTGAAATGATTTATCAACTCTTAAGAGTTTTTTTGTAGAGGCTTCAGGGTGTTCAATATATAGAATCATGTCATCCACAAACAGGGACAGTTTGACTTCATCTTTTCCAATCTGGATGCCCTTTATTTCCTTCTCTTCTCTGATTGCTCTGGCTAATACTTCCAACACTATGTTGAATAGGAGTGGTGAGAGTGGGCATCCTTGTCTAGTTCCTGTTCTTAAGGGAAAACCTTTCACCTTTTCCTGGTTCAGGATGATACTGGCAGTGGGCTTATTATATATAGCTTTAATTGTGTTGAGATACTTTCCATCTATAACTAACTTGTAGAGTCTTTATCATGAACAAATGTTGAATTTTGTCAAATGCTTTTTCAGCATCTATAGAGATGATCATATGGTTTTTGCCATTGCTTTTATTGATATGCGTATCACATTTATTGACTTGGTTTGCATATGGTGAACCAACCTTGAATCTCTGGGATGAATCCCACTTGATCATGGTGTATAATTTTGTGTATGTGTTGCCATATTCTGTTAGCTAGTATTTTATTGAGGATTTTTCCATCTACATTCATCAAGGATATTGGTCTGTAGTTTTCTACTTTTGATGTATCTTTGTCTGGTTTTGGTATCAGGATGATATTTGCCTCATAGAATGAGTTTGGGAGAATGGCCTCTGTTTCAATCTTTTGGAATAGTTTGTAAAGAATTGGTATCAATTCATCTTTGAAGGTTTGGTAGAATTCTGCAGTGAACCCATCCAGTCCTGGGCTTTTCTTTGTTGGGAGCCTTCTGATAACAGCTCCAACCTCTTTTACTGTTATTGGTCTGTTCAGATCTTCTATATCTTCTTGGCTCAGTTTTGGTAGTTTGTGTGTGTCCAGAAATTTATCCGTTTCCTCCAGATTTTCAAATTTGTTGGCATGTAGTTGTTTATAGTAGTCTCTAATGATTCCTTGTATTTGAGGTATCAGTTGTAATATGACCTTTTTCATCTCTAATTTTTGTTATTTGGGTCTTCACTCTTCTTTTCTTAATTAGCCTTGCTAATGGCTTGTCAATTTTATTTATCTTTTCAAAAAACCAACTTTTTGTTTCATTGATCTTTTGTATCATTTTTTTGGTCTCTATTTCATTTGGTTCTGCTCTGATCTTAATTATTTCTTTCCCTCTACTAACTTTGGCTTTGGATTGTTCTTGTTTTTCTAGATCTTTAAGGTGAAGTGTTAGGTTGTTTATTTGCCATCTTTCCAGTCTTCTGAAGTAAGCATTTGATGCGATAAATTTCCCCCTTAGTACTGCTTTTGCAGTATCTCACAGGTTTTGGTATGATGTATCATTATTTTCACTAGCTTCAAGAAATTTTTTGACTTCCTGCTTAATTTCTTCTTGGACCCATATGTCATTAAGTAGAATGCTGTTTAATTTCCATGTGTTTGTACAGTTTCTAGAGTTTTGTTTGTTATTCATTTCTAATTTTAATCTATTGTGATCTGAAAAAATACATGGAATAATTCCAATTTTTTTGTATTTGTTGAGACTTGCTTTGTGACCTAACATGTAGTCTATCTTGGAGAATGTTCCGTGTGCTGATGAATGAATATTCTGAGATTGTTGGATGGAATGTTCTGTAGATATCTGCCAAGTACAATTGGTCTAAAGTGTTGTTTAGATCTTGTGTTTCTCTATTGATATTTTGCCTAGATGATCTGTCCAATGTTGAGAATGGGGTGTTCAGGTACCCTGCTATTATGGTGTTAGTGTTGATCTCATTCTTTATATCTAATAGTGTTTGCTTTATAAATCTGGCTGCTCCAACATTGGGTGTGTATATTTATGACTATTATGTCTTCTTGATGGATAACACTTTTATCATTATATAGTGGCCTTCTTTATTTTTATGGTTTTTGATTTAAAGTCTATTTTATCTGATATAAGAATAGCTACTCCAGCTTGTTTTTCATTTCTATTTGTATGGTATATCTTTCTCCATCCTTTCACTCTTAGTCTATGTATGTCTTTACAGGTGAAGTGAGTCTCTTGAAGGCAGCATATTGTTGGGTCCATCTTTTTAATCCAGTCAGACATTGTGTGTCTTTTGAGGGGGTAATTTAATCCTTTTACATTTTGAGTTATTATTGAAAGGTGTTGATTTACTCCTAGCATTTTATTTATTTTTGTTTAGATATCTTAAGTATCTTTACATGTCTTTTGTTCCTTTCTGATTTTCTGTTTGTTTCTGTGATTGTTTGTTTCTTGGGGTGGTAGATAAACTACTTTTTCTCTTTATTGTTAGCATTTTTGTTTTACTGGTAGGTTTTGTTCTTTCTTGAGTATTCACGGCAGTGATGGTTGTTTTTCAGGTATCAAATCCAGTACTCTCTTGAGAATTTCTTGTAAGGCTGATAGTGTGGTAGTGAACTCCCACAGTTTTTGCTTGTCTGAGAAACATACTATTTGTCCTTCACTCTGGAAGGATAGCCTTGCTGGATAAAGTATTCTTGGCTGGCAATTTTTGTCCTTT